CCCCCAGGTCCCTTTCCCCTCCGCTACACTCAACTGGCACAGATTTTTTTTTTTTCCAGTGGAAGGAATTGCATGTAAGACAGCGTTAATACTGTTACCACCAAGTAACAAACAGAGCGTTTGATTCACATATTTGATCATACTTTGAGTGCATAGTGAATTGAAAGATTTGTGAAGGTGGTCAGTCTGAATAGAAAATAATTCAGGCAGCTTCATTTTAAGGAGCTTCAGTTAACTATAGCTTTTGTTTTTCATTATAACATTTGGAATTTAGTATGGAAAGTCACAATCAAAGAGATAAATTACAAAGATGCATGCAAAAAATGAACTGTCTAAAGGAAGGCAAAAATATTGTCTGCAGAAAGGTAAGATACTGGGACTAAAATCTGTTGGCTTTTGAAGCTCAGGTATACTGTAATTCTGGATGACAGCCAGTTCTGTATAGACCTTTCTTCTCATCTCTCCCCTCAGTCTTACAATTTTAGAACATGAACTTACTATGAAACAAAATAGTAGCAGATGCATGATGTTTAGTATACCCTGAAGTGATCTGACATTAAGTAACAATTTTAGTTCAACAGTAAGCTGAGTTTCAGCTGTTAACTATTTTTTGAGTTTGCGTTCAATACATAGCACATTCATTCTTGAAGCTTTGGGGCTTTTGAGAGTCTTACCTTTTACTGGATCGTGATTAAGTGTTTGATCCTTCTACAGTTTAGAACTGTAACATACGGCGTAAATTAGCACATTAACTTTGAGGATACCAGTTCCTACTAGTCCATAATCTGGGATCTAGATATGAATCTGAAACATATTAAAGTTATTGTAGCAATTGGAAAAGTTTCTGTTGAGACATGAAGTTGTCTTCTAATAAAAGCATGAGACATTTCCTTCTTTAATATTTCATTATATTTTATACTAAAATGTTTACATTTTACTAAAACGTGGTGGAATGGAAGGAAAACAGAACAAGGTTAGTAAACACGGCCTGTCCAAATGGGGGTTGGTGCTATCTGCATCTGGTTATTTTTGCATTCTACCACTAGATGGAAGTAGAAATCAGAAAAAGCAACATTCCCACCACAACTTAGAGCAGTTGCCTGAACTTTAAGTGCAGACTTAATGTGTAGTTTGTCCTCTGCAAGTGTTTTTTTCTAAAGAGCAGTTATGATAACCAGTTTAGTGAAGGGACATATGTTGAGTTTAAAACAAAACAAAAATTTCTACCGGTATCAAGATACTGAACAGAAGCATTTTCAAAGTATTACTTGCGTAGTCTGATTTTATTGACCAATTGCCTCTAAATTGTGGATCTGGAATATTTCTTGATCCTACATATGCTTTTGTTGTGTTGCTTTGTCCTCACAACTTATGTTTTCTTTTTTGGTCTTTTTTCTAGGAATGGAAGGAGCGGTATGGAAACAGAGACGATTCCACTAGAAACAGAGTTGTCCACACAGACCAAAAAGAATCCAGCTTCTCAGAGACCAATACTAATAGACGTAAGCTTTGTGGGTTTTGGGGGGAGTTTGTTTGATTTTGATTTTTTAATATCTTGTCTGCACATCACTGGCTGTATGAGTAGCTTCAAATATATTCCTTTTTGTCTTAGATGATGTGCTGATATATTCTCTTCTGTGGCACAGTGCCATCTTGCCCATTAATGACACCTGAAAAGTGCTGTGTTTCTTCCCATTTTCAACACTTCAACTAGCTGAGGTTGGAGATACTGGCTAGTCTCGGTTATTTGGTCTTCTTGTGGGACTAATGATTCAATTAGAGCAGCAGTTGTCAATAAAGTGACTTTATTTAGGATATGTCTTGAAGGTGGGAGTTTTAAATCTTAAAATTTACCTCTTCTAGTTGCAAATTAACTCTCTCAGACTGGAATAATGGAATAATCAGGTAGAAGACCGACAAATATAATCCACTGACATACCACATGAGTGTATACATGTTCATTTAATAACATATGTTAGCAAAAACTTTTTTGTGGATGCTCTAAACTTCCAAAAAGTTAATTTGTCACAGTGTTAATGTTTTGTATGTATTTTATGTGCTTTTGTTAAGCTAACAACAAGAAATGAAACTAAAAAAAGAAGGAAAAAGGGAGGAGCAGGGAAGCTTTGAACATCATTTTGAGGCAACTCTGGTAGATTTTTTCCTCCTCTTTATGAAGTTTGAAACCCAGATTTTCAGTGGTAGACTAACTGAAATTACAGGAAATTATTTTTTTAATGTTAACCATAGGATTTGTAGCATTCCAACACCAAAACAATCTGTACATACTGGCCTAGTGAAGGTGACAGAGCGAACTGCAAACCAACTATATTTCATTAATTCATGAGGTTGCCTCTTTAAAAACAAAACCAAACCAAAAAAACCTCGAGCTAGCTTAGTTAAAGTGGGAAGTTGGGAAGATGAATAGATGATTAATTGATTCATTTAAAGTAAAGTTTGCATGTAACTTCTCATTTTCTTTGATCATTTGCAAAGTAGATCTCATCCTACTTGAGGAGCAAAAGAAAAGTTGTAGTCATATTGTTATGGAGATACAAAAATGAAATACTACAAGTCTGAGCATGTAGCCAGATTTGGTTTAATACTGAATCATCGCACTTACACTTTGGATGAGATACTAGCAAATTTGAAGTCTGATGTTTCCACACACTCCAAGGTGTTCCTAGAGCAAATGAGTGTCTTTCCTTCCTTTTACTTATTCAGCACTATCAAAGTATACCCGATCAAATGGTAGGACTGAAAGAGATAGAATAGAACTCCTCCAGGATGCAGAACCTTTGGATTTTAATGCAGACTCAATTAACGATGACCCTCTTGAATCGGACTCGGGAAGGTGAGGAATCTTCTGTGTTATTTACAATTAAAAGACAGTAATGTCTTCTGTTTTCTGACCTGTGACAGCTATATCACATGGTTTTGTAATAGTTTTGTAAACAAAATTTATCACCTAGCTCTTTTCCTTTCTTCTCCCCCATGATATGGGTATTGTTTTAAAACAAATTGAAACCTGAAAGGTTTTTTCAGGTTTTTTAGAAATATCTAAGTAAGATTTGAGTTGAGTATAATTTTATGTATTGATATAATCTGAAAAATACTGCATATAAAACCAGAAAACTGGAGAATGACCTACATATGTACAGTATAAGATTTTCTCTAATTTCCTACAAGGCTTTAGAAAGGTCACTTGATTTCCTTATGTAAAAACCATCATAAAGTGCTGCACGAAAGAAAACAGTATTACAGGACCAGTAGTTGCAGGAGTACAGCTGGGGATCAGATCTTTGAACTACTGGAGTAAATTAAAATCTGAACTAAATGAACAAAGTCACAGACTGCACAGTGTAGTTCTGTCTGTAATAGAGAATTCTGTGATTCTGTGGGTGTGACTGGCTACGACATCAAATTTCCTTAGTCATGAAATGGAGTATCTTATGTAACTGCTAAGTTCTGTTCATATTTAAGAAATAAGTAATGTATTTTATGGGTGCTTTTTTAATCTAGGTAGTTATGATGTAGAACCATTTAATGACAAATAATTTTAAATTCCATTGTAAAAAGCTATAGTTTACGTTATTTTTCAGCTAAAACTAGCATACCCAATCTAATAAAAATTCATAAATGGTTTCAGTTGACTAATATCTATGATGTCAGCAAATAAATGCCCATTCAAAAACATGCAAAGAATGTTGTTAAATGACAGTGCCAGGTTTTACAGATAGATTCAGCAGCGTTAGTTTAGATCAACAGTTAACTTTTTAGTCTAATGTTACCACATTTCAAAAGTTGATTCTTTTTAAGCACAAGAGTTTAAAGAGGAACTAGCCTAGCAGTTCTACAGCTATTGACTTCTATATATGTGAAAGGGACAATAGTCTGGAAAAATAGGAATATGCATATGTAATTCTTTTGGAACAAATACTTTTCAAGTACAGTGTCTGAAGTCTTCTAGCACCTATACAGACTTTGCAGAGTGGAATGTTCTGAACTTTTTCTTTAAAAAGAAAATCTAGAGCCACAGAGCTTAGTTGAGCTTTCCTCTGGTAACTTGCATTTCATTTCACAGAGATAATAAATCAAGAGTCATTGCATATGAAATTTCAGTTCACTTAATAGCTGATGTAACATTGATTTTTAGAACTATAGATCCTCCAATAGTTAAAAGCCTTCTAGGACAGTAAGAGCCCTAGGGACACTAGGTTCTGGCTTTGTGTCTGTTCAGGTTTTGGTAAGTACTGTAGAGAGAAAGTACATTGTGCTTGTATTGGAACTTGTTTGTGCTTTTAAAATGCTTTTAAAATATATTTGACCAACTATTTGTGAAGCTTCTTTTTTCCCACTAAGTATGCAGTCATTACCTTTGATACTCCATTTCTCCTAGGAATACCCAGTGAGATGTTCTGTTAGTTACCCAAATGACTTTTGAATGCTGTTGTTTGGTTTTGGTTTTGGTTGGGGGGTTTTGTTTGTTGTTTGTTTGGGTTTTTTTTTAAATAAAGAAAAAAGTTCTGTTCCACAAAAACATTCAACTTCTTTCCTTTGTATCAGGAAACGAAGTTCTTTAAGACTTCTGGTATTCCTATCACTGTTCTTCTTCTTGGTTCTGTGAGATTTAGTTTAATGACTGCCTATCAAATTCTCATGGAAACAGTAATTCAGCAGAATTTCAGATCCTGTAATTCACTGAGAGTTGAGGAGTAAGAGTGCAGCCAGAGTTATTTCATGGATACTTATTTTTCTGTTTCCTGTGATACTTTTTCATATTTAAAATTGGTTCTGCAGGTACCAGCCTGGTGGAAGATACCTGTCAATGTCTCGAAGCAAAATATTTGATGATGTCTAAACTCCTTGAAGTTATAGAAAATTCAGTGGAAACCTATTTCCTACTCATTGCTTGGAAAATACTGTGTTTATGATATATCACTGAACCAGAAAAGACCATTTTTGTCTCAGAATATGAAGGAACAACTATTTTGGAAATGCACCTGTATGATAACTTTACTACTTATGACAAGAATATGCTTCTTCTATTGTAGATATTGTTATGCATCAGTGTGGGCTTTTGTGTCATGACCAAAAGGAGAAAACTATTAATTAATTTAATAGAGGGTAAACTTCATAAATATACCTAGGGCTCAAGTTGAACTGTAGCATTGTAAGTTTTAGGAAGAGGATTTTTTTGGAGTGATTTTTTTTTTTATTTTATTTTGACAGATGCTGTGAGAGCATCGTAATGCATCCAAAGTGCAGTTATATCAATTACTATAGTAAACACTTTCTATGATTTTTCTATTTGAACTTTATGCCTAGTCTGAAATCTACTGAATTAAGTTAAGGCTTCTTTGAATCAGACCATGTATAAGCTGAAAGACTGAATGGCAGGCTGTTGTTTATAAAATCATAAAATACATTGTTCCAAAATTTAAAGGGTGTCTACAAAGAAGATGGAGACTCCCATATTACAAGGGGATTTTTTCTTTTCCAACATTATATGCAGGTAAATGATTTTAGCATGTGTAAATAGTTGAAATTTAATATGGACCAGAGTTTCACTGTCATATGAGCATATGTGCAATAGCAAGATTACATTACCGAAGATACAATATCTGCTTAAGATTTTTACAGTTGTAACAGTTGAAAATCTTGGCACACTAGTGTTTTTGTAACTGTAAAAGAAATATAATGTGAAAATCGAGTTAAATGCTGAAACATAATTTGCACACACCTCAGGCACAGCTTCAAATTGTAGATAATTTCTTTAAAAGAAGGGAAATACATAGCATGACTAAATAATGGTAAACACTTTTAGTGTCACAAATGCCCTGGTTGCATTATGTATCTGTTTTTAAGGTGCCTGTATTTTTCAATAAGTTGTTGCAAAAAGAATAATGCTTATTCATTTGAATGCCATTCAAAAATGCCAATTATGAGTGTAAAAAAGCTTCACATTAATTTAATTGGTGTAGATATCTTTTTAAACTGTAGTTAGTTGAATGAATTTTCAAATGTAATCATAAGGTAAAAGACATGGTCAGAGTCATGATATCTTTGGAAATTTGATTAATTTAAAATGTTGCTTTATTGCAGTTTGTCTTAAGTCTTTACCACTTGGGAGTTTTCTTATGTGCTTACTGCAAAGTTATGCTGAAAACTGAAAGAGAACACGTTTCTATCATGAATTCTTTATCATGCTTCAAAACCAGACATCCCTTAAAGCAGCTAGGAATGAGTTATTGTGAAAAGTAAATTCTCATCTCTCATGACTGAGATGTTCCAGTAATTTTTAAATATAGTCTTTGTTTTCTGAAGTAATTTTAATGGGGATCTAACTACCTCCTGTGACTTAGTACTTAGTACATAATGTTCTAACAGTAGTGGTATTTGTAATAAGTTGATCTGCCTGTTTTAAAACACTGAATTGTTACGATGAAGGAGAAAAAATACTTGTATTTGTATAGAAATAATTACATTAATAAATTGGCAGACACGAAATAATCGTCAGTTCTGTTCTTAGGTGAATACACTGAATGACAGACGTGCCCACATATATTCAAGCTCATGCAATTTTCAGATTACTTGTAAGATGGCACTTTTTTTGGTTTGGGTGTTTTGTGTATTGTAAAAACTTGACCAAAACCTTATGGCTGTATCAGGGACTGGAAACTGAGAAAATGGGACTTTTTACTCAGATTGTTCTTTAGCAATGTTCTTTATGTTGGCACCTATTTAATTTATTTTAGATCTACTTAGAAATGTTGTTCTGAATTCAGCCTTATATGAAAGGGGTTGTATATGTTCTTGGACATAATCCTCATGAATGTCCTTAGACTTGATATCTCTGTTTTTAAAATTTATATCTCATTTAAATGCCCAAAAGTTTATTTGTAAAAATCTTTGTATGAAATAAGGTTCAAGTTCTTTAACTCTTGAAATGTCACTACAAAGGGATCTAATTCAGTGCTAATGGAAAAATTATAGAAAGAACGCTTGTTTTTCTGAATGCTTGTGAAGTATCCTTACCTAGCACCTGCTGACTTCAGAGAATTGGATTGAGCCTCTCAGAAATCAGTGGAATGGCTGCAAACAGAATTTTCAGTGGAAACTTGGTCAATATTTTATATACAAAACTAACTAGTCCCTGGTGTAAGCTCCCTGTGCAGTTTTCATTGGGGTACAGTAATTTGAGGAGTTGATTGTATAAATTAATGGCAGTGGGATTTCAGTTGCTAACATAGAAATTCTGAGCTCATTTGGGTGGGAATCCACTGACCTTTTTTTGATGTTGCAGTGGAATAATGGAGTAACCAATGGCTACTTTTTGAAAGTATGGGAATTAGAGCTCTGAAAAGCTCTCTCTGAAGAGCTCTCAAGAGTTCTTCTCTGGATTGTGCTTGGAGATCCCTGGTGTTACACTCCCTTTAAGTAGTGAGTTGGTAAGTGAAGTCAGGTTTCATCAATAGTGTTCGTTTGCTGACCAACAGTTACTCTTGCTCTAATTATGTGCAATATGTAGGCCAATTAATACATGTGTTTTGGAAAGCAATTATGAGTTCATATGACTAAATCAGAAAGACTTTCAACAAAGAAATACAGAGTACATCTATAAAAGAACATTGTGGAAATACGGGATATGCCTGCACAGCATTTGCTGTGTGCTTGAGACACTTTTAAATTAGTTTGGTTACTGTTGGTACAAGTAATGCAGAACATGCCTGGGGGCTGCGTGGCTAAGGATTTACCCCACTCCAGAGAAGTTGTAGAAGCCCCATCCCTGGAAACATTCAAGGTGAGGTTGGACAGGGCTCTGAACAACTTGATCCAGCTAAAGGTGTCCCTGCTCACTGCAGGGGGGTTGGACTAGATGACCTTAAAATGTCCCTTCCAACCCAAACCATTCAATGATTCTGTGATGATTCCCAACCAGATTGTGGCAACTCTTCATGAGTTCTTTGCTACTATAACTAGTCCTAACAGTACCACAGCTAAAAAAAAGTTAAATCTAGCTTTGATATATTTAAGCAGTGGCTGTACTGTAGGTAAGGTGTTCTTATATCACATTTGATGCTCCAGATTAGGTGATTTAAAATATAACTGCCTTGCAAACTGTGCTTTTGGGAACTGAATGTTAGTATATTTATTCTGTCGGTTTATAGTTGTATTTATTTGCAGCTAAAGAATGTAAATTGTATATTTCTTTAGTATTTCACTTTCTGAATTACTGAGTATCATTTCCGTGGTTTCCTCTTCAGCTGTAAACACCAAACCCCCCCAAAACACAAAAAAATCCACCCAAGTTAAGTACAAATGTTTGAGTATCTTCATGTCAAAGATTGAAGTCAGTGAAAAGGATCCATGCAAGTTGTAATGAACTTTGAAAAGTGGGAGTGAAAACAGTAGCTGCTTTAATACTGTGTCAGTGCTGGATTTCTTAAAAAGTATGGATAGCAAAAAGGTCTGGTCAAACTTACTACTCCTACTAGGTTTGTAGTTCTGTTTTTCCAGGCATTTAAAAATACGCATATTCTGACATCTGTATTGGGAAATGAGTCCCCTGCACTCCACTTAAAGATGCAGCTCTTAGCAGTAAAGTGTGGGAGTCTCTTCATGAGGGAAGGTAAAGGATATGCAACTTCTAGTCTGTGCTAATAGTGACACTTCAGGCAAACCATGATATATTTTATTATTTAGGTACGATAACGTGTTAAGAAAAAACAAACTTTATACTACTGTAACTTACACTACTGGAAAAATCATGTTATGTAATCTGCCTTTATTTTGCAATCAAACACTTGTAAAATAATCATCAACAGTATTAATGGGAATGGCAGAAACCTGCTGTCTTTTCAATATTTATTCTTGCTATTTTAAAATATAACCATGACAATGATTTTTACATATGAAGTATTTAAAAAGTGATTACTGTGATTTTCTGTAATTATGATAATTTGTATTTTATTAAATTAAATTTATCTTGGAATACTGTAAATGTTATGTGAAAAATCATTATTGCTGTAATTACTTGCAATATGAGGGGCATGTACAATACCAAATAGAGATCACTTTATGAGGGAAAACTTTTTATGAGGCTTTTTTGAAAAAATCCAGTCTATTAATTACAGACAAATATATGCATCTTAATTATTACCCTAAGTAGTGCTTTTGTTATATGTTGTCTCTTAGCTTTTCATTTTTCTTTAAAATTCAGAAAATGGTTCATTTTTTCGGAGCAACTTAATATGAATCTTGTAAACTTTCTGAAACTTTTACATTCCTTTTCCATAACGGGCTCTGCAGGAATATTTACTGCTTCATGGCAGTTCTCTAGTACTAGCTGTGCCTCTAATTAAGTAGTCTAGTCTGAAGCTGAGACACTCCTACACCATATGATCATGTTAGCAGAAACCCAGTGTTCCAAGCAATAAAGCACCTTGAACTAGATCCCTTTCTAATACATTAATTGCTGTCATTGATTATGTTGCATTATATTTGGTATCTTCTGTTTCAGTCATGTGGTGAGCCCAATCAGGTTTATTCTTTGTTTCTGTTAAAATGCACTGGAACGTATTCCTCAGCATGCTTTTCTGTGTGTGTGTTTTAGTTGTAATTGGCAAGCAATAATAATATGTAACTTCATTTATTTCTGGAGGATAATGCACGTGTATTGGACATATTCCTGTGAACTGTAATACTTTCAGAGTGATAGGTTAGCTATCACTGTAGAAATTAATTATTTTCTATAGAAATATCTTATATTTCTATAGAAGTATCTGGAAGATAAGGGAATTCATTTGTAAGTATAGCTTTAGTAATAGAAGATCTTCATTCTTCAGTGTATATCAAGGATAAGCTGTAGGAGTGCTGCTTATGGATAGACTATCTTCTTTTGCCTTATGATACAAGTATGTGAGCATAATACCTTGTTTTAAAATTCACTGAGTTACAGATTTTTCTCTGTAGTGTTCTGAATTACTGTTGTACTGGATATATTTTTGAAATGTGTGTTAAAATATCTAGTCAAAGAGTTAAGTTGGCATGAAATAAACAATTTCTGCAATACATTTTTGCTGGTGTATT